AGAGCTGTTCATATCTTGCCACATACTCAAGAATTCCATGGGGTTCTTTGAGAGAGTTTTAGACTTTCCTGTACAATAAAAATAGCTAACACTTATGCTGCTTTAAAATTTGCAAAGCATTTAAAATGTTATCTTATTTGATCCCCCAAACCTTTTGAAGTAGGTGCTGTTTTTATTGCCACTTTACAGATGGAGAAACTGAGGCCAAGGGAGATTTAGGGACTTGCCCATGGTCATACAGCTATCTAGTAGGTGTCTGAGGCAGGATTAAATTCATGTCTTCCTGACTTCAATTCCAGTACTCTATTTGATGTGCCTAGAGACATTGTAATGGTCCCAAGGTACCTACTGAGTCATCAAAGAAAGTTAAAGTTATATTCAGTTGTTGTTAAGTCCTTTTTGAGACGTATCCAACTCTTTGTGATCCCATTTGGGGTTTTCTTGGTAAAGATACTGGAGTGGTTTGCCATTTCCTTCTGCAGCTCATTTGACAGATGAGGAAATGGAGGCAAATAGGGTTAAGTGACTTGTCCAGGGACACACAGCTAGTAAGTATCCAAGGTCAGATTGAGTCTTCTTGACTCCCTGTGCAGTGCTCTAGCCATTGTACCACCTACCTGCCCAAAGTTGTGTTCAGTCTTAAGTAAATCATAATTTATTCTTTAAAAGTTGGTAAACCATGCATATGTTTAGCTTTCTGTCTCGTAGCCTTTTTGTAAGCAATATTGGTTTCTTTTGGCACCAACAGAAAATGAGAAACATGGTAAAGCAATATTTGTAGTTCTGCAATGTTCTTTGGAAGGGGAGCTAGGAAAGCAAGTTGGTTCTCTCATAGATGTTTATTCTGTGTGTTTATCATCTTCTCTTCAACATACACAACTCAACATTTGTCAGTTGCCTCCTACGGACAAGACCCTGTGCTAGGCACTATGGGAAATACAGAGGGGAATGAGATCAGCTAATTGCTCTTGAGGGGTTATTAGTCTAATGGGGAGAGAAATAGTTCATCTGAAGCAATATAAGAAAGTTCCATCAGACAGACATAATGTTGTGGAAGTTTAGGTGAAAAAGACGTGTTGGGGATGGACATTAGGGAAGGTATTTGAGTTGTGCTCTGCTATCGCTAATGATAATAGCTGCCATTTATATATTATTTTAAGATTCACATATGTTATCTTCTTTGAGTCTTACAACCACCCCATGAGAGAGTTGCTAGTATTATGTACCCATTTTGCAGATAAGGAAACTGATGTTTAGAGAGGTTAAGTGAGTGGCACGTAGTCATCACACACTAGTGTCAGAAACTATAGGTGAGCTCAGGTCTTCCTAATTCTAGGTCCAATACTACATTTCACCAAGCTAGGAAGGAAATAAACAGAGTTGAGAGGGAAGGACATGCTTGGTGGATGAAGCAGCATTTGAAGAAAGATATGGAAGCTCAGAAAGCCCCAGGTACATCAAGCCATGGGCCAAGAGTGTGTAAGGGACTGTGTCAGGTACTCTTGGGGATACAAAAATGAATAAAAACCATCCCTCCCATCAGTAGAGGAGATATGAGACCTGTATAGGCAAATCACTCAAATCCTCTGGGCCTTGGTTTCACTATCTGTAAAAGAATCAGAGAGGACATAATACATTACCTCTAAGGTCTCTTTTTGCTCTAAATCTAAGATCCTATAAACTACCAGGTTGAGTTATTTTAATAATCATGAGCATGATACAAGGATTTCGCTGGCTGTGATGGAGTTGGAAGGGACCCAATCTACCCTAGCCTGTACGTGAACAAGGATCCCCTTTACAACAGCCTAAGAAGGAACCAGTTAGTCTCCACGTGGACCTCTAGTGGTGGAGAACCTGTTCCATCCCCCTTTTGGACAATTCTAGCAAAATTTTCCTTACATCAAAATGAAACCATCCTCTTCTTGCTTTGCACCAACTGCTCCTAGTTCTACATAAGTCCTTCCCAAAAATTTGGTGTCCAAAACTGAACAGAACACTAGAGATATGTTCTGACCAGGTAGAATACACAGGGGCCATTACCTTCATCATGATAAATACTATGCTTCTCTTAAGTCAGCTTAATAATATATTTGTTTTTTTTTATCCATGTCTCACTATGTTTTCATTGATTTTGCAGATTGTAAAACTCCCAGGGCTTTTTTCACATAAATTGTTGTCCAACCACATCTCTCCCATTCTGTACTTGTGGATTTATCCAATTAATTTCTTGAACTCAAGTGTAACAATATACATTTTTCTCTACGTCAATTTTATCTTGCTAGATTTGGCTCATTTTTTTTTCTAGCACTGAATGGACTAGAATTTAAAAATACCTTGAAAGATCAAGCACATTTTTACATCAATTAATGCTCATGATCATTCTAATGTTAGCCTTGTGGGGTTTTGGATCTTGATTCTCTCATCTAATATACTCTCTTTCCCTCTTAACTTAATTTAGCCTTGGATCTGGTAATGTGTACCATCTATACCCTCATAAAAGTTATTGATAAACGTTAAACTGAAGAGGGACTAGACTTAGTAGTTTTCTACTAGAGATTTATCTCTAGGTTGATGTTGATTAGCTTTGAGTCAGGATTATCATAGAGTTCCAAGTCCCTCTTAGAACCTCATCATCCATTTCACAGTGATATCTAGAAAGACTTTGTCATACATTACAGAGATTCAGATATCCTAGGTCTTCAACATCACCCTAATTTGTCAGCCCTGTGACCCTGTTGGAAAAGGAAATTATGTAAGTTTGCTATATTTTGTTTATGATAAACCCATGTTGTCTCTTAGTGACTTCTGCTTCCTTTTCTAAATGTTCACAAACCTTCCCTCTACTTATACATTCTTGAATTTTCCTAGGATTTAAAGTCAAGTTCACCAGGCTTTATTTTGAAGAATCTACTTTATTATTCTTCTTGAAAACTTGAGTATGCTAATTATAATTTTTTATTAAATGTATATTTTCTATCATAGAGTCAGCATTGAGTAGTTTTGGGTGGAGGAAGTAACACACAACAGTTGCTAGAATGGCTGCATCCATATCACATATACAACAATAAAACATATGTGGACAAGCCATTCACCTCATAATTTGTGCTGTCTTAACAGCTGGCTCAGATCACAGAAGGACTGATCCAGAAAAGCTGTTAAGCTAGTCAGGAAATCAAAAGCTATTGAAAACTAATATAGAGGCGTTGCACAAAGCACAGCTTGTCTGGCCAGGTGTCACTCAGTGAGTCAGTCAACAAGCATTTATTAAACACTAACTTTACTGCAGGCTCTGTTCTAAAAGCTGGAGATACAAAGAAAGGTAAGATCACAGTCCCTGCCCTCAAGGAACTCACATTCTAATGGGGGAGCCAAGATGCAAATAGCTATGGACAGCCAACATATGTGTAGATGGAAGGCAGTCTTAGAAGGAAAGTATATGAGAAGGTAATTTGAAAATGAGATATATACATGATTTTCATTTTAGCTAAACATTTTATTTGTTTGTGCTTTTCCTATTATCATCACTGACGCATGGGATGCTAAAGCTGGAAGGAGCCTTAGGGATTGCCCGATGTGGCCCCTTCATTCTACAAGGGTAGAAGTTATTGCTGCCTGCCCTGTAGCTGTGTTTTCCCATGTTTTTGTCAGTCTAATTTTAGATTTTGTCAGTCAGAAAGAGTTCAACATTTATCTGGCAGACAATTGGAAAGGCTTATACCGTTCTTGCCAGCAATTTTTCTCCAGTTCTCAGCTTTGATTTCTCCTACTTTGTATGCCGTTACTTCTCATTATAGCCTGTCTGCTCACCATAAATCACCCTTTTTTCTTCCTTGGGGCAAAATTGGGCCCCTGGTCCCTCAGCCCCAACTCCTTTGGGGGATATTTTGAGGGGATAATTTGTACTTTTGTGCTTCCACTCCTCCTGTACTTAAAAGCTTAATTGCCCTTCTGAGTCAGGCATCTGTGGTTAAGAGAGTTTTCCAAACAGTTCCCCTGAATAATTGGTAGAAACACTTACTTGGCAAATAAATAGCGTCTCCTTGAACTGCAGAAGGTGAGCAGCCATTAAGATGTAAGCATGATGGGAAGAGCCTGGACTGGAAGTGAGAAAAGCTAGAGTTTTAATCCCAACTTGTCCCTAGTTGCATTACTTTTGATTTTAGATTTAGATTTTAGATTCTAGAGCTGGAAGTGATCTTAAAGATTATCTGTTATGTTCTTACATGATAAATGAAAAACGTCCTGAAAAGTACTTTGGAATTCTACCTTAGCCATTTACTAGCTGTGCCATTTCATTTAATCTTTCTGGGCCTCAGTTTCCTCACCTGTAAAATGGGAAATTTTGAATTATTGACTTTCAAGGTCCCTTTTTAGCACTGAAGAGAGTAGCAGCATAGTCTAATGAAAAGAGGTCTTGCTTCTGAATCAGACAACCCAGGTTTCAATTCTGCACCTGCTACGTATTAGCCATGTAACCTTGGGCAAATCACTTAATAACTTCTCTAGATCTTATAGTCAAAATGAGGGTTTGAACTCAAGGATTTCTAAGGTACCGTTCATCTCCAACCCTTTGTTCCCTCTCATTCTAAGAAAATGATGACTAAATCAGGTGAGTAACTTACCTAAAGTCTCCATATTATAAATAATAATTAAATCTTTCTGGGGCTCAGTTTTCTCATCTGTAAAATAGGAAGAAATATTCTAGTCCTTCCTATTACCCAGGGTTATTATAAGGGGAAGATGTAATAAAAGATAAGAAATTCTTCAAAAAACATAACTGTATGGTAGGTATGATCTAAAAGTAGTGCCTGATGAGCTTTTACTGTTAGTGTTTATCCTTTGGGGAGGGCAGGCTTCTTTTTGGTGGGTTAGTCAGTTTAGGTCACATTTTCTAAGCTATTCTTGTCTTGTTTTGGTGAACTAAATTACATTTGCTAGCCTGCTCTTTCCCTAGTCTTATTTGACTTTGCTTATGGTTCCTCCTCTCTTCTCCCATGCAGGGTGTGCAACAGCCCAGGCTGGGGCCGAAGATGAAGGGGAGGCAGAAGCTGGCTGGATTGAAGGGGCCGCCATACTTCTCTCAGTTATCTGTGTTGTTCTTGTCACTGCCTTTAATGACTGGAGCAAAGAGAAGCAATTCCGGGGTCTGCAGAGCCGAATTGAACAGGAGCAGAAGTTTACCGTGGTCCGGGGAGCGCAGGTGATCCAGATTCCAGTGGCAGAGATCGTGGTTGGTGACATTGCCCAGGTAAAATACGGTAAGTTTCCCCCCTCCCTCCTCACAATCACCGCAACCTTGGAATCTCTGTCATCTTCCACTCTTCCATAGTTTTTGTGCTTGACTTGGAGTTTAGGTGATGTGGGATGGGCTAGCCTGGGCATCTAGGTCGAGCCTTGGTTGTTTAGAGAGAGCACGATCAACGTTTGGTTATTCTAGTGTGGACATGCAGGCCAGTGAACCCAAAGGGAGGTCTTAACCTTGGTGATCCATCTATGGGACGAGGACAGAGAAAAGGAAGAACCAAGGTTCAAACAAGGTTCAAGACCAAGCAACAGATGGAAAGATAATCAGTGGAAGTCTGGTAAAAAATCTAGGCAGTTATTGGTTGAGGAAGGGGCCTCAGAGATCACTTAGTCTAGTACCCTCATTTTACAGATGAAGAAACTGAGGCCCATGGAGATTGATTAACTTGCCTCCCTCAAGTTCCAGTAATAGATTGTTGTTGTAGTTCAGTTGTTTCAGTCATGTCCAACTCTTTGTGACCCCATTTGGGGTTTTGTTGGCAAAGATATTAGAGTGGTTTGCCATTTACTTCTCTAACTCATTTTACTGATAAGGAAACTGAGGCGGATGAGGTTAAGTGACTTGCCCAGGGTCACATGGCTGGTAAGTGTCCAAGGCCAGATTTGAACTCAGGTCCTCCTGACTTCATGGCTGAAGCTCTATCCCCTGCACCACCTTGAGTAGTAAATAATTATTGGTAAGTAATAACTTACTAATGATAGATTAAGTAATTGAGATTAGAATCCAGACCCTCATACTCTAAATCTAACACTCCCTGGCACCATCCTTTGCAGTCTAGCTCATATACCACTTTCTCCCTAAAATCTTCTTTGATTGCTTTTGTCTATAATAATCTTAACCCTTTGCCCTCTTATACACTTTGCTCTCCTGTTTCTGCTCATTTCATTCTTCATCAGTTTATCAAAGTTTTCAGGATTGTTTTTAAAATATTGATATTACGGTATATATTATTCTTCCAGCTCTGGTTCCTCCATTCTGTATCAGCTCATACACATCTTTCCACATCTCTTTAAAACAACCCATTTCTTGATATTCATCTCCAGAGAGAGAACTGATGAACTCTGAATGTAGTTTGAAACATACTTTTTTAAACTTTATTTTTATAATTTCAATTCGTTTGTGTTTTCTTTTGCAATGTGGCTAATATGGAAATATGTGTTTCTTGCCTTAAAATGATAATCTATTTCATTTCTTATAGCACAGTAATAGTCCATTGCATTTATATACCACAACATATTCAGCCATTCCTTAATTGATGAGCATCTCTTTACTTCCCAGTTTGGTGCTATCACAAAAAGAGCTGACATAAATATTTTTTTGTTCATATGGGCTCTTTTCTTATTTCTTTGATCACTTTTGGGTATAGGCCTAGCAGTGGTATAGTTTGGTCAAAGGACATAGACTATTAAGTAACTTTTTTTTTTTGCGTAACTCCAAATTGCTTTCCAAAATTTTTGTCCCTATTTACAGATGCACCAATGATATATCTATGGTGCATATATTCCCGTATTCCCTCCAGCACTTATGTTTTCCCTTTTTTATCATCTTTTCTAATCTGACACAGTTCTCAAGGGAAGAAACTCAAGCTATCTATAGCCATGTTTAAAAAAAATGCTCCAAATCATTGCTAATTAGAGAAAAGCAAATTAAAATAATCTCCTTCCTTTTTCTATGTCAGATACTCCTAGGAATATCAATAATAATTGCCAATTTAGTTAGCTCTTTAAAGTTTTTAAAGCACTTGACACATATATGTATGTGCTATATATATATATATATGTATCTACATATAATATATTATCTCATCTAATGATCTAGTATTTGAGCTGAGAACAATATTTAGCAAGGTGGGAGGGGAGAGAGGTCTAAAGGCAGGGAAGAAAATCTGGTCAGGATCACAGAATTTTAGACTTAGAAGAGATTTTATTAACCACCTAGTTCTAGTCTAACAATACTACAAAAGAATCCTTACTGTGTATATTTTATCTAATTTTCAGGCCCCTTGATCCAGACAGACTGAGGAAAATATATAATTCTAGGATTTGTTTCCTCAGAATAGAAATGCCGATCAATTAATGAGCATTTATTAAGTGCTTACTAGGTGCCAGATCAGTGAAGATACACAAATAAAAAGAGCAAAAACAGTGGCTTCCCCTCAAGGAGCTTACATTCTAATGGGAGAGCTGATATGTAAAAGTCTAGATACATGCAAGTAATATACAGGATAGATGAAGGTATTATGAAAAGGGGAAGTCTTTAGCATGTATAAATGCTAGCTATTGTTATTTTTATTCTAATGGGAGAGACATGTAAAATAACAAGGTACCTCAAATGCATTCAAAATAGAAAGAAATCACTTCAGAGGGAGAGTAAGTAACAGCAAGGGAGACTGGAAAGGCCTCCTACAGATGGTACATGAGTGGAGTCTTGAAGGAAATTGGGTATTCTGTGAGATGGAGGTAAGGAAGAAAAGCATGCCAGTCATGGGGCCAAGAGCAGCCAGTCTGAAGGCCTGGAGAGTATACAGCTAATTACTTAGAACTTTTGGTAATCTGTAGTTCAGAGATGAATACCTTTTAGATGGAGGTGGGAAAAGATGGAAATTCCATGCCTGAGGTAGAGAACTCAAACTGAAATTTGTCTCTGATAACACTGGAGAGCTAGGGAAGAGCTGGAATGTTAATATTGTTCTAAATGTTAGAACAGAGAACTTAGATATTGAACTGGAGTGAGTTATATGTGGGGACCCTCTTGAAGGGTTTCTTAACCTGGAGTCCCTGATCTTCTTTTTAAAAATATTTTGATAACTATTTTAATATCGTGGGTTTCTTTTGTTATCCTCTGTATTTTATCTTATGGATTTAAAAACTGGATTCTGAGAGGGGTCCATAGTCTTCATCAGACTGTCCAAGAGATCCATTACTCAAAAAAGGTCAAGAACCCTGCTCTATTTGGAAAGATCTCGATTCTAGGGTCAAAGGGCCCCCCGTATGCCATTAAGGACACTGCGTTCCTTTGGTGTGGGGTGGGGGGCAGCCTTGCCAAGGAAGAATTTGCACTTATTTCCTTTTCTTTGTTCTGACTTTGTGCCTTTTAACAGGGGACCTACTTCCTGCCGATGGGATCTTCATTCAAGGCAACGACCTTAAGATTGATGAAAGCTCTTTAACTGGAGAGTCTGACCAGGTCCGGAAATCAGTGGACAAGGACCCCATGCTACTTTCAGGTGAGATGAGGTGATGCCTTGTTTCCACTGTAGAAATTCCTGCATCCTTCTTTCTTCCTACAATTGACTGATGAAATCCTTTCCAGCCCAGAAGATGCTGTTGCCTCTGTTTGTCTCAGACACAATTCCCCTCCCCTACCTTGTGCATGGAGAAATGTGTGAAGTCTTCACAAGGCAGGTCATTAGTTTTGAGTCTTCTTTCACTGGTTTAACCAAGATTGAGAAATTAATTCTACTGAAAATTGAATTGATTCACCAAATAGCAACCCCTGTTTCACTCTATGAAAAGCTGAACTTTGTTCTCATTCCTCCCAAATGATATTGACGTTGAAGTCAGGAAGGAATGAGAATTGTGCCTCCTTCTCCCAGATAAACAGGAAGCAGGTATTTCCTCTGGAATGTCATGGGGTCTGGCCACTGGGTTACCTTGATCTGACTTGGCTGTGAATTAATCTTAGATGTTTAAAATGTGAGATCCAGAAAGGACCTGAGAACACAAAATGGTAAAATAGATCTGAAAGGGACCTTAGACCATAGAAAGTTAACGCTGTTAGATCTGAAAGGGACCTTAGAACATAGAATATTGGATCACGGGATGTTGAAACCAGAAGAAAACTTAGAACATAGTATGTCAGGGCATAGTCTATTAGATTTGGAAGGGACCTGAAGACATAGAATATCACAACATAGAATGTCAGAGCTAGAGGGGAGCTTATAATATAGAATGTTCTAACATAGAATATCACAACAGGGAATGTCAGAGCTAGGAGTGACTTTTAACCACAGAACATTAGAATGTTGACTGTTGGATTTGGAAGGGACCTTAGAATATGGAATGTTAGGCTATGAAGTATTGTTAGAATTGGAAGGTACCTTAGAAGATAGAATGTCAAAGCTGAAAAAGACCTTAGAAATCAACTTGTCTAGTTTCCGTATTTTACAAATTGAGATTCATAGAAATAAAATCACTTTTCTAAAGTCACAGAGAATTCGTGATACAGCTGGGGCTAGAACCTAGATTTCCTTACTTAGTCCAGTGTTCTTTTCACTGAAAATATATACTGCCTTACCTTCTTCTCTCTGGAGGTTGGACGCAGTAATTTTCAGGTGCACTTGGAGCCAAAGTTAAGATATATCCAGCCAGCAAGGACTCTGGGAGGAAAAGTTTACCTAAGGTTAAGATGGTTATTGCCTTGGATTAATAGTTTCTGGGTCTAGGAATTGTGGGAAACTTCATAGTTGTAGTGCCTTTTAGAAAGGAAAGAGTATGGAAGGGCTGGAAAGAAGAGTCATGAGTAGGGTAAGTCTCCAGCTGAAGTCATAGCTAGGGATTCTCCCATTTTGTATCTGTTATTTTCTTTCTATTTCTAGTCTAGTCCCCAGTTACTTTTACTTGGACTCTCATAACAAATTCCAGCCTTTCCCTTCCCTAGCCCATCCTGTATACAACTACCAGATTAATCTTCCTGGAAAACAACCTCATTATACCATTCCTCTGGCTCAGAAACCCTGCTGCCCCACCCCCACCTATTGTCTAAGGAAATAATAAAAGTAAAATTATTTAGTCTAGCATTCAAGGCCCTATTTATCTGGTCCCAACCTAGCTTTCCTCATCTTCTACTACTCTAAGCATTTTCTAATCTAACTAAACTAGGCAACTCATTGTTGCCCAGTGACGTGATGGTCTTAAGTCTATGAAACTTGCCCCTGCCTGGAATGCCTTCCTCCTTCCTCTCCACTTGCCTGAGTTCTTCTGTTTAACCCTCAAGCCTAAAGAAAGTCCCACTTCTCCAGAATCTTTAGCTACCTCCCCAGCCTCTGCCAAAAGAAAAGGTGTATACCAAGTTCTCCATCATAACTAAGCAAGATAGATGGCATAATTCCAATTATTCCCATTGATCAGATGAGAAAACTGAAGGCTGGAGAAGTATAGTCACTTGTCCAAGCTTACATGGTTATTAAGTGATAAGTAGGCATAGGATTTGAACTCACGTCTCCAAGTCCAGTCTTCTTTCCCCATCACAAAACATTACTTTCCTTCCAGCAAAGTCGCCTACATTCATCAACTCCTGAGCATCCCAGGCTTTTCTTTTGGCATTGAGTGAGAAGAGTCCTCTGAACCAATGATTTCCTCAATGTAAAGAACTCCTGGTGTGGACTTTTATACTTATAGATTAACTTCTTAGTAATTTATAATCTTGGAAAGTTGCTTGGGGCATTGAGAGATTAAGGGACTTATCCAGGGTCACATAGCCAGCATGCATCAGAGGCAAGAGGAATACTCAGGTATTCCTGATTCTAAGGCTGGTCTTCTGACTACGCCACCATGTTGTGTTTTATTAGTATAACATAATATCTGTAAAATGAAGTGGTTTGGATTGGTGAGAGGGGCATTGTTTGAAGGTCTTTTTCAGGTCTAAATACTATGATCCAGGAGCTATCTTTCTAATGATAATAGTCATGAAAGAGCTGTTATTGTCCCATTGAGTAATAGGAGTGAGTGATAGGAGTCATATCATCATTCTAGGCTCCAGAGCTGACCAGGCAAAGGTCAGCTTAGCTCCCTGAGGTCAAAGGACCAGCTGAGCTAACTTTCTCTCTGTTGTATCCCTGCACATTGGCCTCCAATGGTTTAGCAGTCTCCTTATATGTTCTGCTACTCTTTCCCTTCCTATCCAGGAGCAGGGCTTCCCCCCACACACAAAAGGATGGTGTTTATTCCCTGCCTCTGTCCTGAGGCCCCTCCATGAATTCTGAAAGCACTGCAGGCATTTGAAGATGTCACTCCCAGGAAGGAGTAGAGAAAAGTAGGACACCAGATTCCCTTGGCATCTACGCTTGGAGATTAAAGTCAGAATTCTTCCTTGGTTTGGGCTTCTGACTAGACTCAATGTACCTAACTGCTGAGCTGTTCAGCATATTTTTGGATCTTACTGATAGGTGGGGTGCACCCACTCATGGCTGGCTTGACCCTTCCTCCAAGCGTCCACCCATGCTGCTCCCCTCACCCATGGAATGTTCTTTTCATCCTATCCAAATTCAGGCCACCATCTAAGGCCCATCTTTCCTATTCCCTCTTCCAATCATTCTTGACCTCTCTAGACAAATAGTCTTTTCTTCTTTTGAAATCCCATCATAATTCCAGTGATTTGTTTGTTTTAAAATCCAAGGCAGTATAGAATTTTGACATCATTAGTAATCACTCTCATGTATGTATGTATATATGTATGTATGTATATATGTATGTATGTATGTATGTATGTCTTGCCTTCCCAGCAAAGGGCTTTAAAAAGCTGAGAGTGGAAGCCTACTAAGCACTTTATATACATGATCTCATTTGGGCTTTTCGACAACTCTGTAAAGTAGGCACTGCTATCACCCCCATTTAACAGAGGAGGAAACTGAGGCTCAGTCAATTAACAAGCCACAGAGTGGATCAGTGATATGTTCTTGGCCATATAACTAATATATCAGTAGCCAGAGGTAAGATTTGAACCCAGATAGCTCCTGATGCCAAATACAACACTATGTGCCATGCATCTTTGTCTCTCTTGCATAAAGTAGGACACCTAAGTAACTGATGAATAAATTCATTTCTGAATTTCTTGGGGTCAGGGGCCTCTCATCTGATATTTCTTTTTTTCTGTACCTCCCAGCCCAGACTAGATCACATAGCAGGTGTTCCTTCAATGAATGTTGAATCAAATATGTCTTGTCTGAGCTCAGATAAAGCTGGAGTTAGGCCATTCTACCTTTATTGAATTTCAGCCAGTCCATAAACGTTTTATTCAACACTTACTATGTGTTTTTTTTTGTATTTTTAGGATGCCTCACTGTCCATGGGGGAGGGTGCAAAGGAAATCATGAGGAAACAACTCCCATTGACACATTTGTTAGGTACTTAATATATGCCAGGCATTGTCCTAAGCACTGGTGATGCAGAGAAGGGCAAAAACTTTTTCCTTGTCCTCAAGAGGCTCCCAATCTAAAGGGGAAGGCAACATGTCAATAATTAGGTGTGTGCATAGTGGATGGGCAGTGATCTCAGTGGGAAAGCGCTTCTGCAGAAATGCTTGTTAAATGCTTTGTAGATAGTGTTATCTCATCTGAGCCTTAGAATAACTCGGAGAGAGAGATGTGAAAAGAATTATGATACTCCCATTTTACAGATGAGAAAACTGTGGCTCAGAGAGTTTAATTGACCCACTCATGGTCATACAGCTACTAAGCACAGTATTTGAACACTGATCTTCTTCTCTCTTAAATCCAGCATGCAATCCATAATATAATGCTGCCTCCCCATCCCTGGCCCATCCCACTCTCTTCACCCCCTTGCCAGGAATTTAGGACACAGCTTCATGCCAGCAAGATATAGCAATAATACCACCAGCATCAACAATAATAGCATTTATATAACACTTCATAGTTTGCAAAGCCCAATCCATGTTATCTCGTTAGACTGTGGCCTAGAAATATTAAAAGCAAGGCTTAAGGTACTGATATTGTTGGCTGGAGTTGGTGGAAGATTGGAGAGAGATGTATTTAGAATTGATTGTATGTTAGATCAGGGAAAATTCTGAGAACCCATTTGATCCAAATCCCTTATTTTACAGATGGAGAAAATGAGGCCCAGAGAGGGCAAATAACTTGCCAAAGGTTGCACAGTTAGTTAGTGTCTGTGCCAGGGCTGGAATCCAGGCTTCCTAACTCCAAGGCCAGTACTCTTTCCTGTAGACCACCCTGCATATAGCTCTAGGGAGAGAGGGAGGATGTTCTCACTGGGCAGTGGCATGTTTTGCTTGTTCAGATTCCTGGACTCCTGATCTCCATTGTGAAACCAACGACTGTGAGGAATTGATATGACTCTTGAAATATTGTCCCGGGCCCTTTCTTTGAGTAGCAACAATAAAGAACTCCTACGTGTTCTAAGCTGTCTGGGATCCTTGGCTCTGGGGCTCTGGCTGCCTGGGTAGCTGGGTGGCCCCACGCCAGGGTCAACT